GAGAGAGAGAGAGAGAGAGAGAGAGAGAGAGAGAGAGAGAGAGAGAGAGAGAGAGAGAGAGAGAGAGAGAGAGAGAGAGAGAGAGAGGAAGAAGGGATAATTTCTTTCATCAACGTTCACGATGATCTGTTTCATCAGCGTGCCCTTGTGTTGCCACAGTGTTTCACTCTCTCTTTTTCAAAGTTTTCCCTTTTTCCATGTCTGCAGGGCTTCACCCTATCAGTCGAAGGGAGTAGGCTGTGCTCCCCACCCCACACTCCCCCCAGCAGCAGCAACAGAAGAAGAAGAAGAAGAAGAAGAAGAAGAAGAAGAAGAAGAAGAAGAAGAAGAAGAAGAAGAGGGAGGGAGGGAGGGAGGGAGGGAGGGAGGGAGGGAGGAAGGAAGGAAGGAAGGAACATGGTGGCCTCGGTGTCCTCAACATTGAAACTTAGAGTTTGACGCTGCTGGCCAAATGGTCAGTCTGCACGTTCACGACTGAAGTGCCCCATCCCTAGACCCCATCTTAGCACTATACCCAGAGGCATTGGTTGGCCATATCCAGCATGGGTTTGATGCCCTATAGGGAGAGCTTTGGTGGTGCAGGACGAGGATGTCATGGCTTGGGTTGGGGGGGTAGACAGACTACGAATGGCAAGGAGGAATTTTTTTTTTTGGGGGGGGGRGGGGAGGGGCATGCTTGAGAGGAAGGTCGCGGTAGCCAAAGGCATTGCGGTGTGTTGTGAAGTGTGGGGGTTTGGGTGCTTTGTGGAGAGAGCGTCAGCAGAGGAGTAGGTTGTGCTTGCTTTGAGGAGGACTCGGAAGATAATGATTCACGCCAACCGGTAGTTTCCATTCCGCACGCAGGCAAGGTCCCACTTGCACAGATTAAACCACCACATCACGAGAATCTCGAGAATAGTAGTGAAACATTCCCATCACAGCTCAATTTGAACGCTGGCAGGCAGGACAGGACACCATCGAAAGCGCAGCCTCCTTGTGCATTGGCACAATTTTTTGGTTTTTTTTCTTCTTTTTTTTTCACTTGGTCGGGGCGCAAAGTCGTGGTTTAAGGGATACAGGGTGTCAAATCTGTCGATAGATTTTTATCTACAGACAGCCCAGCCGGGCCTCCCGGGTAACCCTGTTCGCCCGGGTGGCCCCGGCCGTGCAAGGACCAGGGAAGGT